TTGGCTTCGCTTTCCCGACAGTGTGCCTGGGTCACCTTTTGGTAATCCTCACTGTATTTCAAACTTTTTCATTATTGTTGTATTTGGTACAGTGATCCGTGATCTGAGATTACAACTCACTGAAAGCTCAGATGATGGTTAGCATGTTTAATGAAGGGCTATATTGTTTTTGTAGACAGAATGCTATCGCACACGTAATAGCCTACTGTACCGTGCAAACGTAATTTCGTATGCACTGGGAAACCAAAAAATTCACTTGACTCCCTTTACTGAGATAGTCACATCCTTGCAGGGGTTCAGACCCGAACCCGAGATAGCTCCAAGGTGTGCCTGCTGATGGAATCCTGCGGTACAAAGCCACAGGGTTTTACACAGAGTTTGTACACAGGGTTTGTATGCCGAGTTTGTACACAGGGTTTGCACACAGAGTCCAGCTCCTCCCATGTAGCCCGGTGCATTTGAGATTCGGGCGTGGTATGACTTGAACCAGCAGTTTTCACCTCTGAGCCGTGTCCCATTCAGTGGATGGCGTAACAGTGTGTCTATCCATTCAAGGGAAGGATGTATGCAAGGTATATAATGGAAGGATATTTCTTTTTTTTTAATTTTTTAATTAACATATAATGTATTATTAGCCCCAGGGGTACAGGTCTGTGAATCGCCAGGTTTACACACTTCACAGCACTCACCCTAGCACATACCTTCCCCAATGTCCATAACCCCACCCTCCTCTCCCTACCCCCCTCCCCCCAGCAACCCTCAGTTTGTTTTGTGAGATTAAGAGTCTCTTATGGTTTGTCTCCCTCCCGATCCCATCTCGTTTCATTTTTTCCTTAATGGAAGGGTATTTCTGTTGCACTGGTTGTACCTTGTTTCCAGCCACCGTGAAAGATGACATTATAAATATTTGCATACACGTTTTTGTGGATGTAAGTTTTCATCTTTCTTGGTAAGTACCTAATGGTGGGATTGCAGGGTCATAGGGTGAGCGTATGCTGAACTGTACCCTAGACCGCTAGACCATCTTCCACAGGGGCTGCACCATTTTGCATTCCCACCAGCAGCAAATGAGAGTCTCATTTTCTCCTCATCCTCCCCAGTACTTGGTATCGTCAGCTTTGGAGGTTTACAAATTTTTTTCTAAATTTCTAAATTCTAAATTTTTTTTCTTCCATTAAGGAACTTAAGTAGTTAAGGAATCTTAACTACTTTTAGATAGAGTGGATCCTCATTATGATTTTTAATTTAGTAATTAATGATGTTGAACGTCTTTTCATGGGTTTATTTGCCATCTGTCTCTCTTCTGCGATGAAATGTTTGTTCAAATATTTTGCCCATTTTAAAAACCAAAGTGTTTGCTTTCTTATTACTGACATTAGGGAATTTTTAAATATAGTCTAAATTTAAGTCCTCTTGGTCAGATACAGATTCTACAAACAGTTTCTTCTCTAGTCTGTGGTTTTTCTTTTCATTTTCTTAGGTGTCTTTTGAAAACCAGAAGTTTTTAATTTTGGTCCGTCCACCTTGTCCGTTTTCCTTCCATGGATCACGCTTCTGGTATCTTAATAAGAAACTTGGCCTAACTCAAGTCACAGAGCTTTTCTCCCATATTTTCTTCTTTCATACTTTTACGGTTTTTTCTTTTCATTCCTTCTCTTATGTTTTTGTCTTTGATATTATTTGAGTTAGAAGCCAAGGCTTTTTTTTTTTTTTCATTATGGGTGTCCAAATTTTTCAGCACCATTTCTTGTTTATAAAGATTATTTTTCCCCCATTGAATTCCCTTTGCACTTTTCAAAATGCAGTTGTGCGTGGGGGGTAAGGGGCGGATCTCTCACACTGTTTACCATGTCCATGATCATAAACGTCCATTCTTCTGTCCCTTCTACTGTCTCTGTCACTGTAGCTTCGTCGTAACTCTTGAAGCAGGGGGCGGGAGGGGGTCCACTTCTTGCGTTGTCCTCCCCCAAGGCCCTTCTCTCTGCGGAGGGTCTTTCAGGCCAGGACAAGGAGGCTGACAAAGCTCCAGAGCCCTGACCATGACATGGCCTCCCTGGCCCTGTGATGCCAACCCTACCAGGTCCTCTCCGGCCCGCGGCCTCTAGCAATGCTGAGGTGCTTCTGTGCTCCACTTTCACCAGCACAGCAGGCCTCCAAGCCTTTGCCTGCACTGTCCCCTCTGCTCCCCATGCCCACCCCTTTTCTTCCTCCTGGTTGAGTGGGATCCTCCTTCAAGGCTCAGCCAATCCCGCTCACCTGCTGGACACCTCCTCTGACTTCCCAGGATCTGCCGAGTACCAAGTCCCTGCTTCCGCGCTCCCCACCCACACGCTTGCCTCTGAGCATCCACCACGCTAAATCAAAAGATGCACAAAAATACTCCTCTGCTTCCACCAACACCCCAGGGCACAGGAGATGGGTCTGCTCTAGCTGGCTCCTCCCAGTGCCCAGCCCAGGGACTGGCACAAAGTTGGTGCCAACCCACAGCTCTTGAACGAACAGAATTGATGGCAGAATTTCCCCAGGGCCCCATAACAGTGGTACAGGGAAGACGCCATGCCCATGGCCCAGCCTGGAGAACTGACGAGCTCTCCAGTTATTTTCTCCTCCTCTTTTCTAGCATTCTCAATCAGAGACCCCGAGAGCCTCGGATATATTGGTGGATGCCCAGGAAATTCTGGCTCCTCAGAGACAAGGAAATTTTCCTACAGAACAGGGATCTTACGAGGGACCTCGAGGAGAACAAATGGGGCCTCCTCAAAGGCTCCCACCCAGGCAAAGCTGCCAGAGTGTGGGCCAGAGCCAGCTGCCCGGGGCTGAAGTCAGAATACCTGACCCACCACTGCAGGTCAGTTCCCTTCTCTAGGCCTCGTCTGGAAAATGGGAATAATCCAAGTACCTCTTCTTTGGGTTGCTGTAGGGATTACATGCACCAGTACGCATGTAAATCCACACATGCACATACTTAAATATATACTTACTATAAACAAATAGAACATAATACCCAATCAACTTGGTTGTGCTCATTCTTTGGGGCTGAGATACCCTTTATGTCCACCGCTATCAGGAAAACACCTGAGCACAGCTTCTCCCCCTACTCAGGGGCTAAGGCCTTCAACTCCCCCCTTGCAAGACTGCCGCACCCAGGAGCCATGTGCTGGGGAACAAGAAACAACGAGCACCAGGAACAGGCTACGCCTGCCTCAGTGTCCCCGTGGGCCCCTCAGGCACCCAGGGAATCGTGCCTGCTGAGGCCTGGGCTGGGTATTCATACCTGGCTGCCCCAGAGTCCCCAGACAGTAATGTGTCAGTGACATTGCAAGACCAGAGCTATGGGACCCTTTGCTCAGCAGAGAAGCAGCCCACTTGCAAGAGGACCCTGAGAAGCAGAGCCCTGCTTGCCCACGAGGGTGGGTCCCCTAAGAATGGGGTGAGGAGAGCACCCAGAGCACCACTAATTTTACTCCAGGGTAGAGCGAAGAAAATTCTCTGCACAGGAGAGGCACCAAGGAGCAGAGGTACAGCAGCAGAAGGGCAGGGAGGCAAAAGGGGGGCGGTTCAAGCCCCAGCGCCCTTTTCTCCCCTTTCCTCGTGTGAGCCACGCCACTTCCCTAACCTCGGGCTCCTCATCTCACCTTATAAGAGAGTGCCACCCCTCTGCCAGGACACCTGCTGCTGTGAGGAGCAAAGGGGAGAGCAGGGGAGGCCCCTGCGGCTTCCGGCCTTTTCTGTCCAGATCCCAGGCCACTGTTCCAGCCCTGGGCTTAGCCCAGGGTAGGAGCCTCAGTCAACACAAAGGGCCCTCTAGGGAACAAAGAACCAGGAGGAGGAAAACAACCTCTGGGGCCTGGAGAGGCTGCTCACACCCCGCCCCCCAATCCCTAACTCCTGGGCCACTGGAGATGGGCCTGGCTCACAGCCCTGGAGGGAAGGAACCCCCTCCTTCTTGCCCCATCTCTCCTGGCTGGGCTTCCTTGTACTCTGGGCCCTCTCCTCCCAGCACCTCCCAGCCCCAGCAGAACCGAGGAGGGCAGCAGGGGGTCAGCCGGCTGCTGGTCTGGGTGCCTCTCAGTGCAGGGCAGGGAGGGGTGGGTGGACAGCCCTTGGCCAAAGCCTCAGGGAGGAGGGCAGAACATTCTTTTGAGTCCATTCAGCCGCTTAGCTATTTCCTGCCCTGCTCCAGCACCCAGCATGCCCCACCTGCTCTTACTTAACCATTTCCTGTTTACTGCCTGCCTCCTGCAGCCTCGAAGCTCCAGAGGCCCTCAGCAGCCCAGCAAGAGCTCCCCGGATGGACGGATGGATGGATGGACAGATGGACGCCTGAGCAGAAGACGGCCAGACCATGCTCTCTGGGAGGGGCACCTGGTCTTTCCTTCCAGGCACCTGATCACCCCCAGGGCTGGGGAACATGGGGCCTGGAGGAGGAAGAGGACCTTTCCGGGGTCCAGGCTGACTCATGGCAGCATTAGTCACTCTTACTGGGAATCAGTCACGTCCACGGGCAGCCTCCTCTTGCTTGGTGGCCCGAAGCCTCTCTCCTGGTCCCCCCTTGCTCATACCCATATGGTTCTGGAAGACATGAGAGCCCCTGTGGTCCTTTTCACTTAGAAAGTTCTTCTATTGGTTTAGTAGAGTGTTTAAAAGAAAAGAGAGAAAGAAAGAAAAGTTCCTCTATGACACTGACTTCCTACAGGAGAAATCTCTGGGGTGTTCCATTCACCGATTGGGAGGAAGGACTTGGTGCCAATCTCAGCAACACCCCTTCTACCTCTGTGATTTGGTCAAGTTCCACAACTAGTGTGGACCTCAGCTGGGTTTTTTTTTTTCAAGGAATAACGGTAGCTATTTCAGAGCGTTGTTGTTGTGACAATGATATCATAGTTCCAGGTACAAAGCAAGCAATCAGTGCATGGTGGTGAATAATATTATCATATAGGGGATGAAAGAAAAAAAAATGTTCCTTCATATATAGTGTTTTTAGAAAAATGGGAAGAAAGTCCTTGTTTCCTTGCCCTTCTTAAACCATGAGCTGATACGGAGCAAAATAAAGGAAGGTAAGAGGTTTTCTCCACATCTAATGCCTGCTGGCTGTAGAAATGGGCCCCTCCTCCCCCACCTGAATTGTGGGGTGGGGATGGGGGAGGGCAGTGAGGAGCAGGGCAAGTGCAGGGAGATGCTGGTGGCTCCCTGTGGGGACCGGAGGGGCAGGTTAGGCTGCACATGTGCCCTAAGAACAAGTCCCCAGACAAATGAAAACCCACTCCAGCCCTCCTCTCAGACGTGAGGCCCCTATCCCAGCCAGCCCCAGCCTCTTTTCTCTAAAGGAGGGTTTTCAACTTTGGCACTGTGGACACTGTGGGTCAAGTAATACTTTGTCGTGGGGCTGTCCTGCGCATTGCAGAACGCTTAGCAGCATCCCCAACCTCTACATACTGAATGCCAGCAGCTCTCCCCTCCCCCTGCCAGTTGTGACAACCAAAAACACCTCCAGACGTTGCCAAATGCCCCAGGCAGGTGAGGGTTGGAAAAGGGAATCACCCTGCCTCTTTGAGAACCACTGCTGTAAAGAAAGTCTACGAACAGTAGAAGGAGGACCCTTGGTCTCCCCCAGGCCCACTCCCCATCTCCCTACATTCTCCTAGGTCTTTCTCCCCAGCTCACCCCACACCGGGCGTGGCTAGGATAGCTCCCCCAACATTCTCCAGAGGAAGCAGTGCCAATTCCCCCAGCACGAGAGCTACCCAGAGTCGGCCTCCCTGCACAGGCAGCCCGCTGCATCTCGGGAAGGCAGCCTGCCTGGCCAGCTGGTGGCAATTAGCGGAGGGCTGACTCAGCAAGAAAGGCCAGGGAGCGGTCAGTGGAGGAGTCTGGGGGATAAAGGAGGAACCCGGTGCCTCAGAGATGAGCCAGAGAAGGTGGGTGTGAGGCTGAGACAATCCACAGGTGGTGTGCATGGGCACTGACCTGGGGACTTCCTGCTGGGTCAGCAGCCCACCTCTGGGGAGGCCATTGGAAGTGGAAAGGGAAGTCAAAGCCCAGGTTGTAAGCATCGTCTCCCAGAGAACCTCCAAGTCTAGCCAGGCTAGACCCCAAACATTCAGTGGACCCAGGCTGGGTCAAGAAGCAATCACGGAGACTTGCATAGGGCTGAAAGCTGGGGACACAAAGCTTCCAGAGCAAGAGGTTTTCTAAGTGCGCTCTCCAGCAAAGGGACAGAAGAGAGCCCTAAGAAGAAGGCATCAAAGGGAGAGATGACTTTGGGGCAAGTTTTGTCCCCTACGGAGTTCCCCAAGCAGAGAAGTTGATGGAAGAAGGACACTCAGGGAAAGGGTACCCAGTCCATGCATAGGCCAGGGCTGCTGAAAGAACAGGAAAGGCTGCAGGTCTGTGGGGCTGGGGTAGGACCCCCAATGGGCTGCATGGTTTAGCTTTTGGGCAATGGTGTGTGAAGCTAAGGTGAGCCTGTGAGTTTTCCCCATGGGAAAGTGGCTGCCACGGTGAGGATGAATGGGCAGTTTGCACATTGCCTCCCCCCACCCCATTCTCACCCCTGAAGTTCGGGTCACCTTGATGCCAAGGCCAAGCTGTCCTCGCATGAGCAAGCTAGCCGTGTTCCTGCAAGAGACATAAGCCCAAGCACACCTTGGCCTTGGTCAGTTGCACAGGAAAGACACCAAGACAGACACACGCCCACTCTGCCCAGTGGGAGGAAGAAGTAGCAGTCACCCAGCCTAAGACCTGCCAGCAGCAGGCAGGAAATGAGGTGTTTGAGTTAGGGTTTGAACACCTTGCGTTCACTGAATACTGATCACATGCTGGGGGGGGGGGTTAATGTTCTCCCTCTTCACTGGGGCCACACCTGTCCTCCAGGCCATTCTGGAAAGTCACCCGTGCTGTAAGCCCAGCCCACAATCACCCCAGGGTAGGGAGAAGATCAGATAGAGCCAGGGTACCCAGGGCTCTGCCCCTGCTGGAGCAGCCTCCTCCCTCCTGCCCTGCCCCTGTGGGTCTGCCCCGTCCCACCCAGTCCCAGGAAAGGGCTGGAACAGTTGCCATCTCCAACATGTCTAGGCCTCTCCTTTCTTGCCCAGGTAGCTCTTCTGGGAAAACCTAGAACAGCTGAGTGGGCTTTTCAGGATTGGCATGCTGCCAGGGCCAGAGCAAGGGATGAGCTGGCCGCGCAGCAGTAATCCTATGTGCCGTCAAAGTACTTTTCCTTAGAGCATCTCAAAACCCTTTACAAGCAATAGGGGTTGTCTTAGCTGCGGAGGACCCACAGAAGAAGGGTCAGCTTTGGCAGGGGAATAGATCTTTAAAAGACTGGCTCCAAGGGAGGCAAAACAATAGAATGCAAGGCTGAAATTGCATCCCGAATAAGTATTATCTGAGATTAGAACAGGAGTTCGCTGTCTGTGGAAACCTAATAAACTGAATAAGCAATAGTAGGGTGTGTGTGTGTGTGTGTGTGTGTGTGTGTGTGTGTGTGTGTTGTAGGGACAGTGGGTAAAAGAGAACAAGATATAACACTCACTCTGCCTTCATCTTCTGTGGTGAGAGACTTCAGAGGGCATCAAGGACATGAGTATCTTCCCTGTGAGATTCTGCAACCACGGCTGCTTTCTCCTCCTCCGTACCCAGCAGGGCCCAGATCTCCCACTTGATAGAAGATAGTCACATTGGGCTACCGATCTTCCTGATGGGCACCTGGATATTGTACCTGAAAGTTGAGGCCATTGCTTTGGAATATCCTTTTGGTCACCTTCTCCCACAGACCCTCACCACCTCATGCTCAGCTCCCAGCCCCACTCACCATTCTCACCAGTCCTCTGTGCCATCACCAGATTAACCTTCCTAACCTAAAATCCTACTTCAACTGGCCACCCATCCTTCTCCAAAATACATTGTCAAAAATCCCTAGCGGGACGCTCAAGATCCTCCACAAACCCATCATTCACTTCTGGTCCTCCCCAACACAAAGCCCCTTTAGACATTTCCTTGTCCCTACGTTGTCTTGGGGGCTTCCCTCCTCTCTACCCCTCTGGATCCTTCCCTCCTATCCTTAGGAACCAGCTCTGCCAAGAACCCTTCCCATCACAAAGCTCCTTCCACTGAGTCTGTTACCCAGAGACCACGTTACCCCCTTGGATTTATATCCAGAACTCTCCCTTCTCCAAAGGCCCCATTATCTGTACTTCTCGCTCTGTCTTTATTAACACACTGCCTGAGTTGTGAGCTATCTCCCTGAAGAAATTGGGTTGCCAGATTTAGCAAATAGAAATACAAAATTCCCAGTGAAGTTTTAATGTTAAATAAACAACAAAATTTGCTAGTATAAGTGTATCCCCCATAGTATTTGGAACATACTTACACTAAAAATTTATTTGTTGTTTATCTGAAATCCAAATTTAACTGGACATCTTGTGTTTTCTCAAGCAACCCAACAAAAACAAGCTTAAGTCAGTTGGTTTGCATCTCCCTTGGGATATGACACTCAGAGGAGTTCCTCAGGACCTGTATCGTTGATTGATTCCTTTTTTATTGAATAGGGAATCACCAGCTTTCATCTGCTGTTGGTCCCAAGAACCAGAGTCCATTTGGCCCAGTCTGAAAATCTGTAGCAAGCTCACAGCAGGCCGCCTATGAGAATACGTCTTCCTTCACTTCCTGATTTTCTCTTTAAATATCTGTCCTCAAGACTACACTGGCAGCAGATAGATGGGTTTTGGGTCATAAAACTGAGAGTTTCTCTCTAATCAAAGGAGGCAGAAGCTCTGGAGCTGACCTACCCAGTGTCAAAGTTCAGGTCAACTGCACAGGGTCTATGAGGCCTAGAGCAATGAGTTGGCATCTCTAGATCTCAGTGTAGTGAGGTTTAAGTGAGACCATGCATGGAAGCTGGCAAGACACTGACTCGAAAATGGAAAACACTCAGTAGATGTGACCTGAGGTTGTCAGGGATGATCTAAGACTCTCTGTGGGCATTGGCACCAACACAGTCTCCTTCTGAGGGCTCTTCCAGTAGCTGCCAAACTGTCAGGGTGAAGCCCAAAATGGCGGTCATGTGCAAATTTGCGTAAGCAACAAAGCTATGGCAGAGTCTCAGAGGAAGGTCACCCAGGGGAGAAAGGAGATTTCGGTGGGGAAGTACCCCCTTAGGTAAGGGGTGTAAGACATACGGTGGCTCCCTCTAACAGTGCAATCTGTCCCCACTTCTCCAGTTCTGTTGCAAACCATTACCTCCCTTTTCGAAACTCCATAGAATGGGTCTTAACATCTCTAACTGGTAAAGGCTACTTTCTCCCCTGTGATGAAACAGTTGGCAGGCTCTAGCCCCCACTGGATGTGGAAAGAGGAAGAGCTACCACTGGCCTCCTCAGGACTCTCAGGGTGAGTATCTGGACCTCTTCTTAGGAGACACCTCCCACACCCAGATCCTTACTCAGCCTGCTGACCTGACCTTAGCCCCCTGGACCTTCACTTGCTCCTGAACCTCAGCATAGCCCAGAGTCCCTTGGGCTTTTTGAGAGGACTCTAGGTCAATTCAACAAAAGTTGAATCCCTCAAAGGATCAATTTGCTGAACGACAACTTTGAATTCACTAAATTCACTAATTTCACAAAAACTTATTGAATATTCTCAACGAATTTTTTTTCTTAACAGCGATTTAAGGAATTTTCCACTTGTCAAAAGCTCAGAGACATAGAATGACTTTATTTTCATATAAGTATATACTTCTTATGAATATATTTTCTTTTAAGTATGTTATTTAATGAAAATATTTTGCAAGAAATATATTCCTGGGGCGCCTGGGTGGCTCAGTGGGTTAAGCCTCTGCCTTCGGCTCAGGTCATGATCCTGGGGTCCTGGGAACGAGCCCCGCATCGGGCTGTCTGCTCGGCAGGGAGCCTGCTTCCCTTCCTCTCTCTCTGCCTGCCTCTCTGCCTACTTGTGCTCTCTCTGTGTCAAATAAATAAATAAATAAAAATCTTTATGGAAAAAAAAAAAAAGAAAGAAATATATTCCTGAGGAATATATTGAACCATATAGGAACATATTCTTAATGGATAGTTACCAACATATTCAGGCAGAATGCAATCAGATATTCATGGAGAATATATTCATTGAATATATTTTGGAAGATTACTGTTTAAAACAAGTTTAAGATAAGTTTGTTAAATTGAAAACTTTGGTAAATTCAAAGATTGATGAACTGATTCCTGAACATACCAGTTTTCAATGAATCGGTCTGCTTCTCAGGAGAGAAAATCAATTTCTCCCTCTTGTCATTTGCTTACAGTTTGATTCTGAGAACTTCTGGAACAGTGGTTCTCAATCATGAATGTGTGTTAGAATAATTTCACAGCCTGGCTGAACTTCTGATTCTTGGATTACTGTCGTAGGAGGTTCTGGTCCCAGGTGAGGCAGGGCTAAACCCAGCATGTTGAAAATAATGTCAAGGTCACCCTACGCCTCACTTTGAGAATCAAGTTCAGAGTCATAGGGAAAACAGCTAATCATGAAGGGTTTCTATGATATTTTAACATTTTTTTCTTCTTTTAGAGTGCTTTTAAATTATATTTAACTTTAACACTAATTTTATAAAATAATAAAATGCCCAGCATTCCACCATTCTAATACAATTATCTCTGTGCAAACAGCCTTAAAAACAATGCATACTTTACAGGTTGCCAAAATATATATACTTGTTTGTATTCTACCTTTTCCATTTGCTGCCAAATAAGAAATATATTCCACCATTCTGCAAAGGCATTATTATTACCATTTCTAGTGGTTGTATAAGGTACCATGTACAGATTTGCTATCATCTTCTCAACTAGCTTTCTAACATTTCGTATCTCCTCCGTGCTAAGTTGTTTCCCATTTTTAACAGCAGCAAGCATCTTGGAACATGCAGTTTTTTGCTTCTGTTGAGTAATTTCCTTAGAACTCATTCCCAGGACTGGAATCAGTGCTGTGGTGGGCATTGACAATGAGAACAGAGTAGAACAAGATCCAAAGATCATTCCTGGGATGGCATGAAACATGAATATTGTAATCATCCATGAATTTGCTCTCTTAGAGCCCTAGGAGTAAGAGTCACAGTTAGTTTTACAGACCAATTTAAGATCAGGTCATTGAAGAAGCTGGACAAGTAGGGATTCCGAGCTTCTTACAGAATCATGATGCTCTGTATCGGGAAGGCCTGGGACACTGTAAGCATTTAATGTCTTCCAGTATTTGATGCATAATGAAGATACAGCACTTAGCTCATTAACAGCCTGGCGTAATTGAATTGCATCATTAACACTCCTTGCCACATCACCCAACATGTCTAGGGAATATCCAAAGACGTCCCACTGAGTCCCAAGAGCTTGGGAAAGGTGGAATCACCTCCCCCAATTCCCATGCTGCCTCTCTCCAGCTGCCCTGCCCGTAGAAGTAGGAAGGGAGATCTGGACGTAATGAAGACCATTAGCCAGTCTCACTTCCTCTTTGGAACTGATGTTGTAACAGTGTGCTGAGGAGCCAAGGAAAACCAGGAGGAAAACTCTGGTTGTTGTCCAGATGTGTAACAAAGGAGGTTGTTCTGATTTCACTTCCATGAAAAAATGAGTTGCCCAACAAATAGTTGTTGGTTGAGTAAAAGAATGGATGGCTTTTGCCCTGCCTGATAAACTCTTCGGCTTCCTGTTCCCCAGGCTGCCTCTCCATGATGTGCTCTGTAGGGGGCGCTCTCACTGCAGCCTTCAGGGCACCAAACACCTGGGATGCAGGCTGCTGGGTCTTCCTCCCTGGCAGTGCTGACCTTGGCTTTATATATCTCCTGGATCTGACCTCTTGGAAGCTGTCAACAATGCTCACCCTCAGCCGGTTTTCTGAGCCTGACGAAAGACAGATGGGTGGGCGCATCAAAGCACAAACTGTGTGTACTGCCTTTTGTAGCTGGTTGACTACTCCAGCAGCTCAGAGTCCCCCTTTCATGAGGCATCACGGGAGCACCCACGGCCTGGATGCGGGAGCCCCGGACTCCCACCTCGGCCATCTTCTCTGCCTCTCTCCAGGCTGCTGGAGTTTTCCTCTCTGACTGCCCTGCATCTCCCTGAGACCCAGCTGCCCCCGCTGCCCCCGCTGCAAAACCAGCTTGGACACTCAGAACCAAGGTCATTCTTCCTTTCCCTGTTCTCTTGCCTCCCCCCAGGCCTAGGATTTCTTGGAGTCTCCTACAGGACACCCAAAGCCCCCACTCTTGTTTGGCCACAATCAGGAATCCGTTAAAGGCAGAGTTTTGGTCCCACCAACTGCAAGAGCAGGGACGACAGTGGGTGGAGGAGCCACCTGCCTTCCCCTTTCTGTTCCCCTCTCCTGGGATTCTGAATCTGGGATACACAGTGAAGGGGAGTGTTTCCTGTCCAGGACCAGCTGTCATGAGATGCACTGGGACAGCAGCCTCCAGCCAGTTGGCCCAGGTGGAGGCACAGACAGTCAGGCACCTCCTAGTTCCCACGCTCAGGCAGCAGGCCTCAAGCAGAACTGGTTTCATAATCTCACCTCTGCCAGTGCTCTTTGCATAATGATCTACCATTTAGTTCCCACATCACAATCATAGTATTTATCTATGCAAAGCAGCACCTCATTAAAAAAAAGAAAGAAACACACCACCATTGGCCCAACCCCTCATTAGAGTATAATGCACAGGCTTTGGGCACACCCAGGGTG